CGCCTGAGGCGGGCTCTGTTTGTCGTCGCCGCGTGGCGGTGCGTTGCTGCCGTTGAGCGGGCGGCGCGGCAACCAGCGGCGGTCCAGGCGGCAGTGGCAGCCACGGCGGCAGAGGCGGTGCCAGCCGCGGACGCCTCGACCCCAGCTTCCGTTTGCCCCCTCAGCTTAAGCCAGCAGGCGCATCGATGTGCAAGCGGCCAAGCACAGCAGGGGACGCTGACGGAGGGCGGCACAGACAGCGCGGGCAGGGCCGGCCGGGCAGGAAACGCAGCGGCAGCGACGCGTTCAAACAGTACGGCGCTGGCCAGCTCAACACTGCAAGAGCAGCGGCAGCAGCGGCAGCAGCGGCAGCAGCGGCAGCAGCAGCAGCAGCAGCAGCAGCAGCAGCAACGGGAGCAGCAGCAACAACGGCGGCTCCTGGGCTGCTTCTTCCAGGCATGGCGTGAGAGAGGGCGCCGCTGGCGCAGCTGGCGCGAGCACGCCGAGATGATGCGACGATGCCGGGCGCATAGTAATGGCATGCTGTTCCTGGCACACTGGCGGGCGCAGGCTGAGGCCAGCGCGGCGGAGCTGCTTGCCAAGGCAGATTGGCTTGCACGTGTTCGCCGGCGCCGCCTCCTCTTTGCATCGCTCAGTGCCTGGCGCGCGCTGTGCTGCCAGCTCAGATTGCATGCAGCGCGCAGGGCGGGATGGCAGCAGAGGCGCAATGGAAAGCAGGCGCGTGCAGCAGTTATTGCTTGGAGGGCGGCGGTGCGGGGACGGCAGCGGCTGCGCCTCGAGGTGGCTCGCATCGCACGTGGGTTTGCGCTGCGGACGCTGAGACGCTGCTTTGCTGGGTGGATTGCTCATACAGCATGCACCAGGCGCCTGAGCGCCGCAGAAACCCGGCTTGCAGCAGCGCACGCTCGCTCGCTGCGCCGAGCGTGCTTCAATGCTTGGCGGGCCTGTGTACACCAGCATGCCGCAGCGGGGGCAGCCGCGCGCGCTAGTCTGGCCAGGGGCCGGCTGCGCAGGGCGTTTCAGGCATGGTGTGGCTCCCCCACCATCCAAGCCGGCTGGTGCTCAGGGAGTGCTCAGCCAAGTGCACCGGCAGCAGAGCCCAGAATGTCTGATAGCCCTGCTTCCAGCATCAGGCGCAGCGGCGGCGCAGACCCAGGCAGGGGGGATGCGGCGGCGCGGCCCCCGCAGCAGGCGCTGCCAGCAGCTGTGGAGGGGGGCACCTGTCTCGCCAACAGCGGCGGCGCCAGCGCAAGCCATGGCCTGGATGCCTCAAGTCGACACGCAGCGGCAGGCGTCGGCCAGGGAGCCCAGCACGGCGCCCATCTGCCGCGGCGCACAGGCACACGAGGCCAGCACCTGCAGCTGGCGCCACACAGGGGCCGCGGCGACATTGGCGGCGCGCGCGCCGGAGTTCCGCTCGACGCGGCGCCCGTAGGTCTCACCTCTGTGGATACGGCCCCCATGCTGCTGCGCATGATGAGCCACACAGTGGTGACACTTGCCCGGGCGGCAGCAGCTGATGCCGCAGCAGCGCAGCCGCTGCCCGAGGGCTTGCAGTCGCCGCTGCCGCCACCGCCGGAGCAGCAGCAGCAGCAGCAGCAATTGCAGGCGCAGGCGACGGATGCGCAGCAGGCACAGCTGTGGGTTTCACAACCATCGTGGCAGCCTGCCATCGCAGCCTCGCGGTGGCCAACAGCCGCAAGCGGTGTGGCGCCGACGACGATTACTGACGAAAGCTCCAGAAGCGTGCCAGCAGGAGCTGATGCAGGGGCATCAGGGGCGGCGGCGGCAGCAGAGCAGGAAGGCACGCTTGGTTCCCCTGCCTCAAAGGGCGGAGTGCTCCGACTGCCTACGTGGGCGGCCTGCAGCGCTCTCCATTTCTCCAACGCTCACTCCCAGCTGATGCCCCTGTCCCTGCCCCGTACGAACATGTGATGCCGGCCACCGATGGTGCCGTGCAGGGCGCTGCGGCCGCACCAGCCGCGCAGGCACCCAGCGGCGGAGCAGAGCCCAGCCGCTGGGCCGTGCAGGCGCGCGGCAACCGAGGGCTGCTGGCCCTCGTCAGCGCGGCCGCCGTGTTGCGGCAACTGGTGGCACGCCTGAGCAGCCTCATGCTGCTGCTGCTCACGGCGGTCCTGCAGATTCCAGGCAGTGGGCTGTCAACGGCAGGCCGCAGGTGGCTCCGCGGCGTTGTCGCCGCGCCCGGTGCACCTTATTGGCGGCTGCGGTCACGGCGCCTGCTGAGTGCGGCGCCACCCGTGATGCAGCCGTCTCCGGTGGAATGCGATGCGATTGCTGTGTCAGAGCAGCAGCAGCAGCAGCAGCAGCAGCAGCAGCAGCAGCAGCAGCAGCAGCAGCTCCTGCTCGACCAGCGACAGCAGCTGCGGCAGCCAGAGCCGCAGCAACAGCAGCAGCAGGAGGACCTGCAGCACAACAGGCGGCAGGAGCAGCAGGAGCAGCAGGAGCAGCAGGAGCAGCAGGAGCAGCAGGAGCAGCAGGAGCAGCAGAAGCAGCAGGAGCAGCAGGAGCAGCAGGAGCAGCAGGAAGAGGAGGCACAGGCGCTTGAAATGCAGATTGTAACTCCAAACAATCTGCGAGGCACAGGCCTGCCAGTTGCGGCTGGCACCATTGACGCAGCGACCGCAGCACCCCATTTCACATCGGCGCCGCGGGCTCTGCCGCAGGGCCGCCAGCTGGCGGCGGAAGGTCCAGCCTGCAGCATCAGCCATGGAAGGGCCCCTGCGTCCCCCGTGGACGGCCGAGCAACCACGGCGTCGGCTGCTGAGCCTGTGCTGGCCGCTGTTATTTCAGTGGACGCCGGGGCAATCACCGCAGCGGCCGTCACGCCGGCGCTTGCCGTGCATGGCGCACCAGGCAAAACGGCGGGGGCAGCGGCGACAGGCGGGGCGCCAAGGGCGGAGGGCAAGTGCGCAGCGGCGCCGGGCAGCCGGCCTGGGACGCCGTATGCTGCGCGTCTGACCTCACATGGCTCTGCAGGCGAGGGCGGCCCTCCGACCAGCGCAGCGCCGCCACTGGCACTTTCACCCAGCAGTCAGCAGGGCGGGTCGCGCGCGGCATCCTCCCCTGTGTTCCTGGCGGAAAACCCGCCGTCTGCGCCCGCACACCCACCTTGTGCGTTGGCGCCAGCCAGGGCGGCGACAGAGCAGGCACCGCCCGAGGCGGACGCAGCTGCCCCCCACATGCACGGGTCTGTGTGTCTCAGCCTCAGCGGGGCCACAGAGCATGGTGCAGGCATCTCCGAGACGGCCGCTGCAGAGCCAGCCGAAGCGCAGAGGGCAGCTGCGTTCCCACCTGAGGCCGCTGCCTCTCCACGCACAAACCTGCCAGTGGCGGGTCCGCTCGGCCCAGTGGCTGCCGGGGCACCGCTCCAGCCGCAGCTGCCGGGTTGGCCTGATCAGGGGGGTTCGCTGTCACAAGCTCTTCAGGGCGGCAAGGAGGAGGGCCCGCGGTGGCAGCAGCAGGACTTGCAGGTTGCCAGAGAGCTTCGGCGGCGAGGGCTGGCCTCTGAGCCACAGCAGCAGCAGCAGCAGCAGCAGCAGCAGCAGCAGCAGCAGCAGCAGCAGCAGCAGCAGCAGCAGCAGCGGCAGCATGTCAGGTGGATGCTGGCGGCGGCGCTCAGCCGATGGCACGCCTTGTGTGCGCTGCGGCGGGGTCAGCGAGCGAGCGCGGCCGCCTTCCAACGGCGGCGGGTGCGGCGGCAGCTGCTGGCCGCCTGGGCAGCTTGGCGGGCCGAGGCGCGCAGGCGGCGGCGCCTGCGCGTCGCGGGGCAGCGTCTTGCTTGCGCCACGGAACGGCGGGTGCTGCGGCGCTGCATGGCGGGCTGGGCGGCGAGGGCTGCGCGCCGCCGCCGGGTAGCTGCACTCGGCCAGCGGCTCGCTGCCACCCACGTGACATGGATGGTGAGGGCGGCGCTGCTGAGCTGGCGGCAGTGCGCGGCGGCGCGCGTGTGCGGGTTGGGCATTGTCGCAGCAGCTCGACGCTGGTTAGTTAGAAAGCAGCTGCGCAAGTGCTTCGCCTCTTGGCGACGGCTTGCCGCCAGCACCAGACGTGGCAGTCAGGCAGTCACTCATCCGGAGGCTGTGGGGGTGGCGGCGGCAGCAGGCGGCGTTCTTGGCGAAGGCCCGCGGCACCCACAGGGCTGCGAGCAGCACGGGCAGACTGCAGCGGCGTCTCCACAGAACGCCCAGCGCGCAAGCGTCGTTGCCGGCAGCCGGCTGCCCTGCACCAGATCCCCGGCAGCGGCCGACCTGCGGCCAGACAAGCACGCGGCGTGCGCCAAGGAAAAAGCTAAGCCCGCGCTGTACGTTGCGCCAGCGGCTGGCGGGCGCGCGGCCGCAGCGTTCGCAGGAGCCGGGGCGGCTGCGGGGCCCGCAGCGGACACGGCCGCAGGCGCAACGGCGGCAGTCCTCAGACCTTTAGTTGCAGAGGCTGGGGTGGAGCTAGAGGCTGCATGGTCGGACACAAATGCAGATGCGTGGAGGCCTGAGTCGGAGGCAGCCTCGGACGCAACAACGGCCGCAGCTGCAGCGGTGACAGCCGCAGAGACATCACCAGCAGGAGCAACAGCCGCGGCGGCGGTGACGCCGTCCGTACATCTCGCCAGTGACGCTCTGCAGGCGCTTCAAACACCTTGCAATCAAGCTGGCGCGGCCGTGAGCCAAGTGGGGGCGTATGAACCCAGTGTTGCCCACGTACTACCGGCGGAGCAGCCGCACGGCGAGATGCATCCATCGCCACACCCGCTGCTGCAAGAGCCCAGTGCGTCGGCACGGCAGAAGGAGCGCGTGCCGCAAGTGGAGGAGCAGGCGCCGCAGCAGCCGCTCCCACCGCTGCGGTGTGTACCAGCAGACTTGCTCTTGCTGCAGCAGCAGCCGCGGCATGCAGCACCCTGCGACCGGATGCCGCAGGAGCAGCGACGCCACCAGCAAGGGGCGGCGCAGGAGCAGCAGGCGCGCTCGGGGCAGCTGCAGCACCAGCTGCGCCGGCCGCTCATGCGGCCGCCGATTCTGGAGAATGCTATTGCAGGGCAGCAGGTGGGCCCGATGCACGCCGCCGCCAGAGGGATGAAGCCGGAAGCCCTAGATTCACGTTTTGGTGGCAGCAACGCGCTGTGGAAGTCACTTGTTATGGAAGCGGCGTCAACCAGGCCCGATGGCGGCGGCAGCAGCGGCAGCCGTGAGTTGCACCAATCGGAGTGTGGTGTGCTGCTGGGCTTGCAGCAGCCGCCGCCCACTGCTGGGAAGCAGCGGCAGCCGTCACGACTGGCGGCGCCGATGCCTTTGCTGCAGGAGCACCAACAGCCACCAAGGCCGCAGCCTCCACCCCACTTGAGGCCAGTATCGGCATCTGCAGGCGCCCCCAGGCCCCCGTCCCCAGCAGCAAAGCGCGACCGTTGCGGCGACAGCGGCGTACAGGATGCTGGGCTGCTTGGAACAGTGGATGCATTGCTTGGCACGCAGCCCGGCCAGCTTGGCGCCTTGGCGGCAACACGGCGCAGCAGCAGCTGCTCCAGACAGGCAGGCGCGCCGAGCTGGAACAAGGGCCGGCGCACTTTGCTCAGTGGCAGGGTGCTGGGCGCACAGGTCGCCATCGGCGGCAGCAGCAGGCAAACCATCGGCGACGGCTGCCCTTCAGCTCCAGACCGGCCCCGCGGCGGAATCTGCAAGGCGGAGGCGGGCGCCGGCTCTGCGGGCAGCGCACGGCTTGTGTTGGAGGTGCGCTGCGGCTCCGTCGAGCCTGGGAGCGCCAGTGGCGGGGCGGCGGCTTGCGACCCCGCAAGGTGTTCCATCAAGTGGCGCAAGAAGCAACCCGCACGGCTGCCAGACGCAGTGCCTCACGCGCCCGACCAAAGCCTGGCTGATCGCAGCAGCGGGCGGCTTAATGCCTGCGGGCCCGCCCGCCTGCTGCAAGGGCTGGGGCTGCTCGGCACAAGCGCAGGCGTCCGCACCACTGGGGGTGCTGCCGGCCCAAGGGCCAGCCCGCTTGGGGGCATCAGCGAGAACGGCAGCGGCAGGGGCAGCGGCAGCGGCAGCGGCAGCGGCAGCGGCCGTGGCGGTGGCAGCGGCGGCGGTCTGCAGGTTGCCTGCGTTGGTCGATCAACTGTGGCTGCAGGCGCGGCGCGGGCGTCGCTAGACTTGGTGGCGGCCTACAAGAGGATGCTGCTTGAGTGTGCTCATTTGGAGGCGAGCGTTGAGAGGCGGCGGTAGTCCACCTGGTGTTATATCGTGTTGAGAAGTGCAAGTTTCAGAGCGGGTGTTCTCCGGCCGGTTTGGGGAGGGGCGCGCACCATTCGAGTCGTGCTGGCACGCATTGCAAAGCAGCCCTTTCGTTAGTGCCCAGGCTTACGCACAACAGTTTGCATCACAGCCGTCATGAAATCCCCGCATTGATTTGCGACCAGACCACTGCTGCCTAATTTGGCAAAAAAGAAAAATTGCCCTTCCCTGTGCTGGAAGGCCGCGCTAGTGCCGAGCAGCCCACAGGCTGCCAGGAGCCAGCTGCCGACACAGCAGTCATTCTGACCTGTCAAAACACACGGCTGGCAGCAGCTTGATGTGACAACCAGAGGAAGCTCAGCTGGGATTACAGAAGTACTGGTTTCTCTTATACATGTGACCGCACAGGCGCCGAATTCAGTGCGGACCCACCTCCAAGCCAGTCCCGGAACCTGCCGAAGTACGACGTGCAACTGAGCCCACGCCACAAACTTTCGCAGACGACATGTAAAACGCCGTTGTATTGATTCCAAGTAGTTTCCTTTTCAATCATACGAAAGCCTGATCGTGATCGACACGGCCTCCGACAGCGCAACTGAATCTCCGTGGCGTCTTCTGCCGCCAGGCTTACCCTATAATCGGCACACATGGCTACCTTGATCAGCTACACGCAGCGCACCTCGACAGTGGGGTGCCGTTCGACGCGTAAGAGCCGACGTGAGCAACAGGCTGCCACCCATGCCACCTCGCACGCTGACCTACGCCCCTGTGCCGGCGCTGCTGCGTGCTCTGCTCCAAACCAGGCTTTTGCACCTGCAACAAACACACCGGCACGCCGCCCCGCGACCGAGGTGCCCCTGCCACCCGATTCTGATAAGCTGCAACAGCGCAACCGACTCATCGGCCGCCAGCCGAGGCGCCTCCGCCCCCCGGCCTCACCCTTGCCGCAAAACACAGGGCCCCTGGTTGCCCGCGCCCACGAGGACGGGGACGAGCCGCTACCCCTCTTCCGCCTGCCCAGGCACGCAGCGCGGCCCCGCTCCCAGCCTCCGCGTGCCGCCGCCGCCACGGCCGCGTCGCGCCGCACGCGCCGCCCTCGCGCAGCCCGCCGCACACTCCGTTCGTCCCGCAGCTGCCGCTTTGGCACGCGCTCTGGAGGCATGAAGTGTTGCTGCACTGCAGCATACCAACCACTGACACTGCAACTCTCCTAACCCAAACCACTATCTGCAGCCAGAAGGTCGACCTGAAGAAGGCGCCCAAGCCAACTGCCAGGCTGGGAGGCAAGACCATAGGAGAGGAGCTCAGTGAGTAGCGCCGGGGCTCTGCTGTGCAAGCAGGGAGCACCGGGAGACCCGCAGCACGCAAATTTATCAGCTGACTCGCTCCTGCAACCCACGTGTCTGTCGACGAACCACCGGCGACACACTCACCCGCACCTCTGTCCCGGCCGAGTGCCACGGCCGCTTGCTAGTGGTGCCTTTCGGGCCATTGCCTCTGCACAACGCGCCCGCATGTCCTCACTCCTCTGGGTCGCACCCTCTGACCTCTCCTCCTCCTCCCCACCCCGACATCCGTTTAAATGCAAAACTGCGACAGCCCTGATCCACCAGGAGTACGCAAAGGCAGAGGACACTGCGCGCGAGCAGATGGAGGCAAACCTCTACTCAAAGAACTGGGTGCGTGCGGGCGCGCTCGCATTTGCAATGCCGGCTAGCAGGGCGGGCAGCAGCCCCGCTGAGCACCGCCTGAAGGCAACGTGCCCATAACATCAACCCCATGTCTGCGCTTGTGGTGTGCCGCTAGCATCATTCAGCTCACTCTGCTCGACATCATCTCCGTCTCCACTCAGCTTGTTGCTGGCTCCTACACGGCTCTTGGCAGCTGGCAGGCTGCCTCATGAACGAAGTCAATCATGAACCCTTTTTTCATCCCCACGCAATCGCAACGCACCACCCAGGCTGGTGACGTGTACATCGGCTCAAACTGGAACATCCTGACCCTGCTGTACGCCATCTTCCTGCTGACGCCCATCCTGGGGCTGGTGGCGGCCTGGGCGACCTATGGCGTCTACTGGGGGCTGATGCCTGGGATGGCGCTCTAAGAATCCCCTCAAGAAATCACAAATCAAGGAAGGACGGGCAAACATATACGCAAATCAAGCTTTGCCACTGTGTGCCGCCGCCGCTGACCGCTCCAGGCCACTAGGTGCGCATCACTTTCATTGTGGCTGCGAGAGGTTCGCAGCCAGATTTTGTGGCGCAGTCGGACTGACCTCAACGCGCAAGGGCGCTAATGCCGCCTGTCTGCTCGATGCGCTCGCCGATGGCTTGGTGCATGGTCGGCTGTAAAGCCGTCGACCACCTTTTTTTTGCGCCTGAGAGGTGTTGATGTTTCTTTACGCGCAGCAAGTGATGTGTTGACTTTGTTGATTTGTTGACTTGGTAGAGGTCAGTGCTCATCAGTGTCGCTGGCGAAACCGCACGTAGCAGTCAATAGGAAGGTGTCGACATGGATAATCAAACATCTTGCCCGAACAATTGGCAATTAAAAATGCAGCAGGCAATTTAGTGCACCCCGGAGCGCACTGGTCTCCAGGGCTGTGACCAAAAAGAAGCACGATAACATGTGTGTGCGCGCGACGCACACCCGCCGCGCCACGCCCTGACAGACGAAGCAGCCGCCCCGCACCTGAAAGCAGCCCGCCCAGCAGCAGCACGGTACGCTGGTGCAGTGCAGAGGCCGAGCAGCGACAGGGTCTCATGCAGGGCAGCCAAAAGGAGCTTGACCCCGATGGGACTCAAACCCACCTGCCGTTTTGTTGTTTGTTGTACATGCGTGTGCGTGCGACGCACACCCGCCGCGCCACGCACGCCCTGACGGACGAAGCAGCCGCCGCGCACCTGGCGGCAGCCCGCCCAGCAGCAGCAGGGTCTGCATGTGCAGCGTCAACGCCAGGCCGCGACAGGGTCTCATGCAGGGCAACCAAAAGGAGCTTGACCCCGATAGGACTCGAGCCCACCTGCCGTTTTGTTGTTTGTTGTACATGCGTGTGCGTGCGACGCACACCCCCCGCGCCACGCACGCCCTGACGGACGAAGCAGCCGCCGCGCACCTGGCGGCAGCCCGCCCAGCAGCAGCAGGGTCTGCATGTGCAGCGCCAGACAGGGTCTCAA